TGCATGCAAGAGGAAGGCGTAGGGGCACCTTCGGTTCTGGGGTTTCCGGATCGAACGACGATCCCCTGCCAGTATCTGGCCAGAATCTACGACGCTGATTCGCCTGCGCCATCTCTACACAGGTTCGCTGCTCGGTGTTTGATGCGCCATGCCTTCCTTCCATTACTTAGGCCACTGCGTGTAAATCGCCGTTGCAAGCCACAAACCTTCGACTGTATCTTGTCTCGGTCTTCCCACGCCTTCTAGAACGCTGCCGCAAAAGTCACAATTCTGTTGATCTGGCTTTTTTTTTTTTTTTTTTTTTTTTTTGGATGGCGCGCGTCACAATACGAAATGTCAAACTCTGAACGATGGGGAAGACCAAATTGCCGGGCTTTGACGAAGTTCAGATGAAGCTTCATTTAAGCGAGTGGAGAGCTGCCAAATGGCCTCTTCGTCATTGATAACTGCCGTCGGACCCACCCCGACCGAACATTCGAGACTCGGATCGGAAATGTTAGTCAGACGGTTGAACAGAGGCGTTTATTGTTTGATCTTCCCTCCGAGATCTTTTTCCGTTTCAGCCGGAGGCTGGCTCGGGGAAAACAACCGTCACTTTCACCAAGACACGTCAGAGTCCGATGCAACATGACCGCGAGACACATGGACACCGAGACACAACAAACAAACAAGTTGACGTGGACACGTTTCTTCATTCACTTCCTTCTCAGTATCCTTGGCCATCCCGGGCGCCACTGTGATTAAGTATCCGGAAAAAACAATAGGTAACCGCCCCAGTCCTCTATCCGGTATGATTTTACAATATGGATGGTATCATCGTCACCCTCCCCCAGAGCAAATATTTGGTATCATGTGAGACAAAAAGAATACAGTAAAACCGCTCTCATCAAAACGCCACACCGACGCTGCCCCATCGAGGGGCAATCGTGTCTTTTTCCTTTCCAAAGGTGGTTACGCGCTCCAGCGGCGGGTGCTCCTCCGCCCTGGTGGCGGGGGTGCTGCCGGGCGACCACGTCGTCGGGACCGTTTGGCCTTCGTCTTCCGACTCCCACGTCGACACAGTCGACGCCGTGTCAAAACTAGTGCGCCCGTCCCGCGGCGCATGGACACATTGGTAGAAGCCCTCGCGCCCCTTGACGGGGCGAGGAAGATTAGTGATGGAATCGTGACTGATGTTCCGATGGTGCTGCTCTGCGGCACCTCCAGGGAACAGCCAGCTGGACACGCGCGAGAAGGATTTCTTCTTGCGCAGCGGCGGGCGAAGAACGAGCGGCAGGGGCGGCGGCGGCGGTCGGGCCTCTCTGCCGCGGCTCGGGGGTGGTGTGATGAAGGCCGCTGAGGCATCGGCGAAGGCCATGCCGCGGTGGGGAATATGCATCGGCGGCCGGGGCGGCGCCGTGTGCGGGCGGTCGACCCCGGGGTTCAGGCGTTCTGCAAACGAGGGTGCAGCTGGTGGGAGCGCGGGGACCGTGGGTATGGGATCCATGTCTAATTTTGTCAGCGCCGTGAGACTTGCTAAATTTGAGCCATGGACCGGGCTTACCGTGCGTTGTCAGTGCCATCGAATGAGCTGTCGAAGGTCGACTGCTAACGTAAATGCTCTGACGCTCCATGACTAAGTCGATCTCCCGCTGAAGTTTGTCGACCTCCAGCATGGCACCCGCAATGCGCTCCTTCATCCGTTCCACACTGGATGACGTTTGCGACCGAGCTCTAGACTTGGGTGGGATTTTCGGCGGGGTGTCGCCCGGAGACATCGTCAATGTTGATGGCGACATTGAGATCTTCCGCGGCAGGTGGAATGACATGGAGGAGTAGCTCGGCTCATGCGAAGGCCCAAAGACGTCGTCGTCGGGGTTTGGCTGAACACGGGCAGGTGGTGGCGGGGTGAGCATCTCGAAGTGAGGCAGGATGGGCGACAGCTCCCTTTTCGGCACGTAGATGCTCAACTCCAGCGGCCTGAAGGACGCCGGACGAGGCCGAGATAGACGTTTTGGCCGTGGCGGCATTGTGTGGCCAACAGATTGAAGAGTCGTGTACTGAGGAAACTGGAAAGACTCAGAGTGCAGATGGCGGAAGTCGGTAGGTCCTGATATTTGTAGCCGGCGCGGCGAAGAGGAGTCTGAGCGAAATCGCTTTCTCACAGAGAACCGCTCCCGGAGCGATGCAAAACCTCTCTTGACTCCCTTCGACTTCACCGGCTGAGAGCGAGGTCCGGCAGGCTTCTGCATCGTACCTGCGAAAGGCGGCGGCATGGGCACGGGCTGGTCGCGGGTCACGGTGGACGGCAGTTTCTCAGAAACGTCAAAGGTGTCTATGCGGGTTGGTTAGTGTCCGGTAGGTATATGTATGATGTTTTCCTGCGCCGGACTTCGCCGGGGCTGTGGACTCACTTTGACGCGGCTTTTCGTCCGGGCAGGTTGACAACGGTGTACAACAATGAGTGAGGGGCGACAGCCATGTCGTATAAACGTCTGCAAGCATGCCACTCAAACCCTTCATACCTGCTTCGCAAGATGCTTCATGCCGAAAACGCTGGGAACATTGGGTAAAAACACAAAATAACGAAAGACGGCCAGCGATTTGACAGAAACAGAAAAGGGAAGATGCAGAGAGGGCGGCAGGAAACAAAGATCCAAGTGATCCGATTGAATTATAACAGAGAACGCAGCGGCGGGAGGCAAGACGGCAGGCAACCTGCAAGATGAGAAGAGAAGAGCCCACTCACACACGTACACACCACCACACGACTTAGACATACCCGGCAAGCACGCACTTGGGCCCGACCAAGCTCACCCGCGTTCGTTCCCTGGCAAATTTGTGTGTCCCAAATGCCCACCTCCAGCCAGAGGTTTTGCTCTTTTGCTTTGCTTCATAGGCCCAGCTGAGAGGAACATGGGAGGGACAAGGGCCTGGGCAATTGTCGGCGAGGTGTGCAGTTGAGATGCAGACGGGCCGCTCTGATAGGCCGGGGTTGCAGAAGGGGCCAGACGCGGCCGGCCAACCGGCGCTTAGGAAGTTGGGGGTCTGTCGGATTCGGATGGCTGGCGCTACACCACCATCCTGCACCAGATTGCAGGACTCCACCACTCGTGTAAGATGAAGACGATGGCTCAGCGAGTCGATGTCTCACCTCTGCCTTGCTCTGGTTACCCGGAGGCAGCTTGACCAGCAGCAGCTTGCCACAAGTGCCCCTCCGAAGGAGGGTCTCGTGCCCGTCAACGAACCGTCATCCAGCTTGATGCCAGTCACCGTCACCGCCCCTTGTCATTCCCACCGATTCTGGGCTGGGCCCCACGAACCCTTCTCTGTCGAAAAATACTGACAAACAGGGCCACGGCTGAATGGTATTTCGAAACCGCGCAGCGAGCGTGTTGTTTCCAGTCGGGCGAAATGAAGCGGCCTAATCTGACGGGCCAATCACTGCGGCGCAGCCCATCTGGCCGCCCAAACGGCACGGCAATCCCAGTAATTCGGTGACATGTTCCAACGTGAGCGGACGGCAGACGAATGAAAAATTTCCATCAAAGCATGCAAGGCACCGCGGGTAGCACGGGGGAGGGAACGCGGGAAGCCTATCTGGCGGACTGGGGGGATGCGCTGTGCCATCACAACACCCATCGCAGCCCAGCGCGTCTCCTATTGCAGGAGAGCATCGCCGTTGAAGGGTCGCACACACGGGGAGGGCGATGCCGACAGGCTGCCTTGGCCAGATTGAAGCTTATGATGGCGACAGGTCGCGATCGTTGTGGGGAGCAGAGGCTGGGCTGGCAGACTGCGGGCGGGTGGTGTGTTCTGCAGCGCTCCGCTCTGGCCTGCATTTGCCTCCGTCTCCTGTTTTTCCTTCCTTCCTTCTTTCCTTGGTTCTAATAATAATCCCCCTCACGGAATCGGAATGAGCGTCACTTGATTCCCGCGGCGATATTTCTGCCCGTAGTGGTTGCAACCGTCGGGTTGGTTGAAGAGAAACATGTCGCCGGGCTGGTGATGACTCGAGTCAAGCTGGATGAGTAGCCGGGAATCGTTGCTTAAAATCGTGGCGGAGTCCTTCGTCATCGTCTCTTGTGAAGAAAACCGGTGGACGAGAAGCTTCCGCAGGCCTTCTCGTGTTACTCTAGCGCAAACAAAATGTCTCGGGCAAACCGCCACAGTGTGGAGGGACATCAGCAGCTCCAGCAGCTCCAGCAGCAGCAGCAAGCAGGAGGGGCTTGGATCTGAGGAATTTCATCTTATGTAAGGTATCACTTGGAGAACCCCTCCATTCTCCACTTGTTCGTGATTATCTAAGGAAAGTACACTCAGCTTACCTAAGGCACTGATTGCACAGAGTACCACGGGAAGAAGCATCTGCCATCGTTGTTCGACGAGAACCTGATTTCGCTACCCGGCCGGAAACATTCAGCCACCTGGCGAACCAACTTAGAACAACAACAAGTTCAATAAGAACGATACCTAGTAATAAAAAGGACAGCAAGGACAATAGCGGCGACAAGAAGGACGACGGAGACGACGGACGACAGAGACGGAGGACGGAAACGAATGACGATAGGGACGACGATAAGGGCGATAAGGACGACAAGAGAGGGACCAACAGAGGCTTCCAGTGTCTTTGAGTGTGGTCTAAGCACCCGCACCATCCATGTCGGCTCGCAGGGCTTATCGATAACGGTTCCCGGAGAAAGAGAGAGCCGAACCGTTATGGACGCGGGCGGACTGGAGTGTGGACCTTACCCCTGCACGGATTTTTTGGGCGAAGTGAACACCTGGCTTGCTTGCTGGGGCCGCTTTTGCTCGAGACCCAAAAGCCCACGACCACAGACAGTCCACACCTCGACGGCTTCCAATTTCTACAACCAACACCTCTTGGGCTGTCGTTGTCGCCAGATTTTTTCAATCGGCCGCATCTCGTCCCAAGCGCGTGCTTGACCAAATTTACCGGCCGCGTACGCACACCAGTCCATTGACTATCGCGTCAATCTAGTCGCGTCCAACTCGCCAACATGTCGCAACCCCAACAGCCACAGGGTGGCCCTCCGCCGGGCGCAATGCCAATGCCCATGATCATGGGCCCTGACGGTAGACCTATGCAGCCGTCTCCTGAGCAAATTGCTGCCATGCGCCGGCAGATCGCAATGGATGGTGAGCTCTCCACTGGTAGCGATTGTGCGAAAAAGTACTGACTCCCAGAACAGCCGAGAAGGCCGGCATGAGTGTCCCCGATTTCCTCAACAAGTTGCGCCAGGAGGCCATGCAACGCCAGATGGCAGCCCAGAGAGCCCAAGCAGAGGCCCAGGCCCAGGCTGGTGAGGGTGGAGAGGCTGGCGAGCACAACCATGACCATGAGCACCATGGTCATCAGCATGGCCCCGGACACCAGCATGGCCCTCCCCAACAGCAGCAGCAACAGGGTGTTGCCAGACCGTGAGTCGCCCATGGTTCCAGACATCATATTTCATCCGCTAATTGACATGTTTGCAGTATTCAGCCTGGACCCCCGAACCCCATGGCGCTCGCGCTTGCCGGCTACTTGAGAACTTGCGATCTCAAGCCCCGAACCTGTATCCTGAACGGCGAGCGTAAGGACATGTTCAGAGTCAAGCGTGCCCTCCGTGCGCTCCAGGCCCCCGGTTACGCGAAGCTTCGCCAGAAGCACCCCGAACTCCCCGAGATTACCGATCGCGCCTCCCTCGAGAACACCTTCAAGCTGCTGCCCATGTCCATGCTCGCTCTGCGAGTCGTCAAGTCTGACCCCCATGAGGGTCATGACCACGGCCCCAAGAAGACGAAGCGTGTCAAGGGTCTGTGGACCGTTCGCATTGAGCCTCAGCAAGAGGCCGGAGACGACATGTACTACGTCTGGCTCTACGAGGGATCGCAGGTCAAGACCCGCCTTTATGCTCTCGCTGCTCTGGTCTTGATCTTCATCGTCGTCTGCTACCCCCTGTGGCCTCTCAAGCTCCGTCTCGGTGTCTACTACCTCAGCTGGGGATTCTTGGGCTTGCTAGGTAAGAGGACTGAGACTCTACCAGATGATTATAAATCTAACTTGAATAGGACTGTTCTTCCTGATGGCGATCTTCCGCGTCATTCTCTTCTGCATTACCTACTTCGTCGCCTCTCCCGGTCTCTGGCTCTTCCCCAACCTGTGGGAGGACGTTTCGTTCGTTGACAGCTTCAAGCCCGTGTGGGCGTGGCACGACGTAAGTAGCGCGCGAAAACCCTAGTTGATAATGCTCAGCTCGACTGACAATGAACAGCCCAACCCCAAGAAGGGAAAGAAGAAGAAGGCATCCTCCTCCTCCGGCGCAGCGAGCGCTGGCGGCACCTTCGCTGCGTCCACTGGACAACCTCTCCCCGCCTCTGCGACGACGACCGCGACCGAGACGCAGATTGCATCTGAGCCTACCCAGCGTGCCGGCTATGTCGCCCCGGCTGTCGAGGAAGAGGACGAGTAGATGCATCGTTGACGAAGTAATTTGCATCAGACAGGCGTTAGGGCATTTGGTTGTGAGCTGTACTTGTAGATATACCCAGCGTCCAGCATGCTGTCACCTGGGCTCGGGAGGGGAAAAGCCATGCTGGTACATATCAATGGTTGCTTTGGCACTTTCCTAGAATACTCAATTGAGTGGCAAAGACTGCGGTAGTTGACTTTGATCTGAGATCGCAAGTGTTGATCTTGACGGTTTGGACGAACATGGTTGTTGTAAGAATTATCGGTTTACAAGGATGCGATTATGTATTACTACCTGTGTTTACGAGACACTTCTGAATTTCATTCATAAATTGCTTACTGCACCGATCCCTCGGAGCGCTCATAGTACCAGATTGCACCCTCAGCCTTGGCGCAGTTGGAAACGCTTCCGCCGTTGCTGTCAGCGGCAACAGGAATTCCATCGCCGCGCTGGGGTCTGCCGTAGACGTGGAAGTAATACCAGGCCTCGCCAAGCTGGGTGAAGCCATTGTCGAGGGAGCCCTTGCCTGCCTCGGTGGTGTTGTAGCGGGGACCGCTGCATCCGAGGTAGGGGATGGCGCCGTGGCCCTCGGTCAAGGCGGCCTGGATGTCGGACAGCGAGTAGGCGGTGGTGTTGGAAGGCTTGATGTCCTTCTCAGCCAGCCACTTCCAGGTCGGAGTCTCCTTGTAGTAGTGGACGACGGTCTCGAAGAAGTCGACGAGCTCCTCGTGTTCTTGGTACTTGGGGCCATAGCACTCGACGTCAAAGGTGCTGAAGCAGGTGGCGTGCTTGGAGAACTCGTGGGCCCAGAGGACCCAGTTGGGGGTTCCCAGAGCGATCCAGAACCTATTGTTGTTAGGCAACCGAAACCAAGGGCGTGCGACTCGAAGCAAGTGATGGATCAGTTGCGCCCAGAACGGAGGAGACTCACTTGTTCATGTACTCCAGAAGGTCAAATCTCTCGAAAGGAGTGATGAACTTGTCGATGGAGGTACCGTTGTAAGCAGGGACGGGAGTACCGTCGGGCTTGCCATTGGTGGTGTTGGGCGAAGGAAGAGGGTCGTATTGGCGCTTGAGATCGCAGTACTGGGTGTATGAGCCGTTGCAAAAGTCGGGCCAGAGGCCGTGGATGCCCCACGAGTCTTGAGGCAACTTTTGTCCCTCGCTCTCCAGGCCAGTGTAGGTGTTCCAGAACTGAGTGGCCATCTATCGCAAAGTCAGTTCTGTACGTACAAAGACGCAATTGTTGAGCAACATACAACAAGGCCACCGTAGGTCTCGACGCAGCAGGTGTCGACCTTGTCAGGAACTGCTCCACAAGAGCATGACAGAACAGGCTCAACTAAGAACATGGTCAATGAATCATTCCACTTGCGCGTCAAATAAGCTTCATACCGAGAGAGCAGCTGTGGTTGGCGGTAGTCAGGCCAGGGTAGAGACCGGCAGCCGCGGTGCCCACCAGGCCGGCGACCGCCAGGAAACCGAATGCTCGAGTCATCTTGAGGTGCGAATGTCTTCAAGTCTTTCACGGAATGCACGGCGACAAGCGAGGGGCAAGGCGACTACCAAACAACAACAGAATCCCATCCAACGGTGCAGCGGCGCATCATGCTTTATAGAAGCTGGTCTCCATTCAGGGCAGCTGAAAATTTCCGCATTATCCAATCTCCACACGGAACACCACGCAGACATGTTTTCCCAAGGCAAAAAACGGCTCTTTGCTCGATCAGGAAGCTGGTGAAAAGCACTGGGTCGGCTGTCTATGCCGTCAGGGAACAGAGGTAGTGTGGGGTCCGCAGCCCACCTGCTCGAGATACGGGCTCTCAGAGGTCAATTGGCGCGGGGCGATAAAGGATGGCCGGGGGTTCAGCGAGGCCTCGGGTGCAGTAGCGTAATGCGCTTTGGAGCAACAAGGGCCGGTCAACGGTGAACATTTTGGGAACCTTTTCCGCTGAACTCCGGCGACCTCCGAGGATAAGGATCAATACCTGACTGACTGCGCATTCATCGAGGACAGGAGAACTTGCACTCCATCGGTCCTGATTTCCATTTGGAAGGCATTCGCACGTGGGAAAAGTGACAGCATGTTTGGCTGGCAGTGTTGGTGCAAGAGAGGACTGGACATTGAAAACCTCAAAGAAGTGGGTGGCGGTGCTGGCTCAAGTGTGGCGGAAGCTGCCAACCCGGAATGGCGGAACTGTGGACCCGAGGAAGCTCCTGCACGGTCCATCTCCAGAACCTACCTAGGCATGAAACGCCTGGTGTGGTTTACCTCGCTATCGCACCTTCATTCCCTGGAGTGAGCTTGACTGTGGTAAGATCGAGGGAGTAAAATCTCAATCATCGCGCCTTTCCCTCACCCGGCGACGATTATCGTCTGCTTAATCTCATCATTGACCGCCCTCTCCTGTCGTTTTACTTGTATTATGCTCAATCACTGCTTTCTATCCCTAACAATCGTAAGACCTGTCACCTGTCACCTGTCATCGTGCAAGAGCTCCCTCAGCAAGCTCTGCGTCAAAACCTTCACATCTCATCTTCCAGCTACCAAGGTAAGTCGCGATTTCGCCCTCTTTCCTTCAAAGTTGCCTGGTTTTTCTGCTTTGCATCGCTATTGCACTTTGGGACCCGACGCGTCTGCCATCTGGCAAGACGCGTTCATCCCTACTTGCCTTGCCATTCACCTCATGCCGCTTGCCCTTGCGCTAGTCGTTCACCAGACTACATCCTCCACTCTCACTTCACCTCACTTCCCGCAATCTTTTCGGCTCAACCATTCTTCATCTATAACTCCACCAGTGACTTCTGTCTTGATTTCTTAGTCGTAACATTGACTCGTAGTCGTCTTTCACCGTTAGCTGATCGCCTCCGCGCAGACTGCTTAAGCACACATTCACCATGTCGGAACAGACTCCGGTTCCCGCCACCAACGGCGTCAGCCCGGCTCCTGCTGCCGAAAAGTCGGAACCTGTCAAAGAGGTTGCCAAGGATGAGAGCAAATTCTCATGGACGTAAGTTTCACATCTCCTCTGCTCATTTATCTAACCCGTCTCACATTCATCAAGGCAACCTCACCCGACCTTTGTCATTATCCTCGTCGGCTCCGACGAGACTCCCTTCGGCATCCAGAAGGACTTCCTCTGCGCTAGATCTACATTCTACCGCAACCACTTCAAGGAGAACGTCGCATCGGATACCATCGAACACATCGTAAAGCTGCCCGAGACCTCGCAAGAAGTCTTCGGCTTGACCCAGCAATTCCTCTTCACCAACCAAGTCTCGAACGATGCCAACTCAACTCCCTCATACGAGGCCCTGATCGGTGTGTGGAAGCTGGGCTATGAGCTCGGAATCGATGGCCTCTGTGACAAGACTCTCGAAGCCATGAACGACTGTAGACGCATCACCCAACACATCCCCGCAACTCCTCTGCTTGTTCAGGTCTGGAGAGACACGCCCGAGGGTTCCGCCATTCGTAAGCTACTCTTGTCGTGGGCGGCCGAATACATGCGCTCTTCGGAGTCCAGGGCCGAGTTTGCCAAGTCGCTCCCGCAGGAGGTTCTCAGTGAACTTGTGGTAGCCATGAGCTCTCTCGACAGCCTGCCTGCGCCGTCTTCTGCGGATTCACCACAGTCCGCTGAGCCGGCCCCACGGAAGAGCGTTCACTACTTGGAGGAGGACAGCGATGAGGATGACCACCTGTCCAAGAAGAACCGACGTGCATCTGCGCCACTGCCGCTGTCGCAAAACTCCAAGACTTACAACAATAGCCACCGGGCTCCGCCGCCTCCTGTCCGCAAAGCTGCAGCCGCGGCAGCTGTCGCATCTGCGCCGAAATCTAAGCCCGTCATCCAGAAGCGACGCAGTTTTGTTTCCACGCCCACTGGCGAGATAAGTACCGACAAGAAGCTGGACTTTTGCGCTGATCTCCTTGACAGGATGCTTTCGGGTCCCGGTATGTCCCTACCTTCCGATAAAGATATGAATATCTTTGCTGACTTTTACAGGTTTCTGGACGCGTCTTGTCGGTCCTTTCAAGGAGCCCGTTGACCCAGTCGAGGACAACGTGCCTGATTACTTTGAGAAAGTGAAGAAACCCATGGATCTCAACACCATCAAGGCGAAGATGAGTCAGCAACAGTACACTACAGAGGACGAGTTCGTCTCCGACGTCCGCCAGATTTTCGACAACTGCTACACGTACTGGAAGAAGGGCGATGCCATGTGGGTGGCATGCGAGAAGTTCCAGAAGACTTTCGAGGAGAAGTATGCACAAATGTCCAAAAACATTTCCAAGATGATGAGGGAACCCACCGATTGAATTCCTCATGAATCGACCTTTCTATCTTCCTGACCGATCGAGCAGTTCACCCTGCATGTATATTATATGGAGTCGTCGCTACTTTTCCTAGTCCCCGCCGCGGCACAGCTTCTACGTAATGGTGGTAGGATGGAGGCAGATTTTTGATCAGAGGAGCAAATAAGTCGCATTGCTTTCTTTCAGCGGGGGCAATCTTGAGGAGGATAATACCCAGAATGGCTTGGGCAGCGGAACGAATGTACATATCTAACAGCAAGAAGAGATGGCGGAGCAAAATGGCTAAAGCGTTATATCCCAGAGACTTGGAACGCGCCCCGCGATCTCGACGCCCTGAACAGCGTCGACTTAATTGACCTATATTAGTCTCTTCAATGTCGGACCGATGTTCATGATACCGGCGCCCTTGTCTCACGTGGGGAAGACGTTAGCGCCGGGGTTGCCACACGTCACGGGTCTTTGTCTAGCCTCAACGACCCAGATCTCTGTTTTAGCCCTCCTCTGTTGCCACTCACCCACTTCACGGTTTGCTGCCCAGGCCCCACGATCGTGCCAAGGAGCGAATATCGTGCAGAGAAAAGACAAGCTCTTGCCAAGCAGGGGATTTGCGGGGATCGTCCCGTGGGGTTGGAGAGTTTGGCTTCAAAATCACTGCGACCGTTGCCTTGTCTTTGTCTGGCTGCAACCGCGGCGATTTGATATTCCATTCTGAATGAAGCTCGATCTCGAGGACCCTCACGTCACGAGGATCCATTCATATTGGCTAGTTGATATATGTAACTCTGCGAACATGTTTCCTCTCACATCAATACCGATATGGTTGCTTCGTCACGGGATGACAAGACAAGCGGAGGTTTCTGGCTTCGTCGTCATCGTCGCTGCCGTCCTTCTCCTCTCTCGTGCTTCTCCGCCTTCCACCTTCCCCCGCCCCCGGAAGTCTAGCACCTCTCCGAACAACACCAAGCTAGATCCGGACACAGCGAACCAATCGCCCCAACCTCCCCCGCGCTCACCTCACTCACGTCGCTATCTTCGCTGAAATCTTCCCCCACAACTCCAAGAAGCGCCGAGGAAGATCCAAACGTCGGCCGTATGCGGGCTACCTAGCCTGGACATGGCTCAAATTCGGTGCATGCAAGCCTGACTGTCAAGCTTCCTCCCATCCAAGTGCCGGCCCAGTTTTTGGAGGATGGGATGGGATGGGGGGTTTCGCCTTGCCCGCTAGCTGATCATCACCCGCCCTCCGAAATGCAGCGCTCTCCCCGATGGGTGGTTTCTGCCGTCGAGGCTAGAATGCGCGCAAACGCAACGGAGGGCCGGCTAGCATTGCCATTCGTCGCCTGCGAGGTTGGAACGCTTCAATAGCGGCCTTCTGCCCGGTGAGCTATAATTTTGCTACTGGGAGAACATTTGAGTTTGTGCGAAATCTCTGCCGTGGTGCAGAATTCTGGGTGCGCGCTTAGCTGCAAATTCGAGACCTGGCTGGATCCGACATCACGGTTCTGGCGTGTGCTTGATGGGGCCGAATAGTTGGACGTGAGGAAGCTAATGCGAGCTTGTCAGTGGCGTTTTGGATGGGACGACAGGTGGTGATGGGTTTGCTCGTCGCATGGCATATATAAGGTTGAACGTTGACGACCTTGTTGGTATTTTGGGATCATCAGCCAGCCGGACACTGAGCATCATCATCACCTTCTCATCATCGACTTCATCTCTTCACTGACACCCACCCACTCCAACTCAGCAAAGATGTTTGGCAAGAAACAGGAGCCAGAGGTCGCCGAAGTCCTGGACCAGCGCCAGCCCAGCGCTGTCGAGGCAACCCAACATCAACATCGCATGTCCGTCTCCAACAGGGGGTTGACGGGCGCTTCCGCCTTGACCGTCAGGCAGTCCATCGTGCCCATCACCTTGGTCACCCTTCTCTTCTTCCTGTGGGGATTCGCTGTAAGTCAAAGCCATCACATCACAGCCACCGGGGCTCATCTAACGATGCGCGCGCGCAGTACGGTCTGCTCGACGTCCTCAACTCCAAGTTCCAAATCGCCCTCAACATCACGGCCGCCAAAGCCGGCGGTCTCCAGGGCGCCTACTTCGGCGCTTACTTCATCGGGCCCCTGACCTACTCCGGCTGGATCGTGCGCAAGTTCGGCTACCGCTGGACCTTCATTACCGGCCTC